GTAAAAATGTAGTACACCTAAGCAGTGCCTATGCTTGGATCATGAGAGGAAGTCAGTAACTCCTCACCCAACTTCAAGAGAGTTGGTACATGCATTTCAATAAAAACAAAACATCTTTTCATGTGGGACCTGCTCTTTAAAATGTCAGTCCCCCCACATCCTTGAGGACAAGCAAAGGTGGTAATGGTACAAGGGTACCTTTAAAAGTACCCGTGTCCTCTTCATTTGACAGTCGTTGAAGCCAGAGGCCTTGTTGGAGCTCTCTCTCCCAAGGGTAATACTCTCCCTCTACAGCAGGGGGAGGCATACCCCCACATACAGCATAAGATGCACGCACACAAATAATACAGAGAGGGAAAGGACAGAGAATCAGAAAGCAAAATTATTGTTTGGAAATCCAACATGACTTACTGTACTCATCAAAGCTCTCTGTTTCATAGGCAAACTCCACAGAAAAGAGAGAAAGGTGGTCTGGGAACATCACAATTTAGTAGACTAATGAACAGCATGCATACTTTAGCCATGGTCTTGGCTCTGACAGGAACTTCAGCTATGGAGTTACGATTTCTATGCGGAAAAATATAGCCAAAGCACCTAGTTAAAAGGCCATTTCCTGCACCAAATGGCACCTGATTGACACCACAGCTCAGCACAAGCACACCTCTGCTCATACTCTCAACATTAGGTGGCCAGTGGCTTTTATAAAGCAAGTCTGGTAGCTCTCACAGCAGGGGAAATGCAAGTATCCAAGTCATGTTTTGAAAGATAAGATTCAGTCACAGCTTGGAAGGGTGAAGAAGCACAGCAAAGATACCTGTTTCCAAAACAAGCTCAGTGTGGTTATGACTTACTAAAGAGGTGCAGGGGTGGAAAACCTTCCATCACTCCCCCCTCCACCCCTGTTTCATAACAAAATACTCAAAGCTGAAATAAAAACAGCCTTGAGAGCACAGGGGTTCAACTTAAGTTCATATAGTGGAGTCTATCCTGCTGATTTAAGAGAGTTGGATACTGCTCCTCCTGTGGTCCTGGGGGGCTGACAGAATTGCCAGGCCCCTGAGCAAGGTCAGGAGGGAAGCCATCTCCACACTCCCGCAAGGGGTGAGGCTGAAACCTTAGCGCTGCTTGGATCATGCTGAGCCCCCCACTCCTCCAGCCAGCACTGGCCAGCATATGCTACCAAGGGCTCTGATGGCAATTTAAAGGCCCCAAGGCTCTGGCTGCAGCTGCAGTAGCAATAGTGGTATCCGGGAGTCACAGGCCATTTTGAATCGCTGGCCCCAGAGCAGTTTCCCAACCCCCCCTTGCTGGGCCTGCTGGGATCTCATTCATATTGGGCCACAGAGGATTATTACAAAGTAGTGCGAGGTACTCCCTCATTCTCAACTCTGAATGCAAAATCTCCACAGCACTTCCTATTCCTGGCTGGCTGGCTGAACAGGGAGCCAAATCCAAATCTGATTCCCCTACAAACCAATGAGAGAATAGCACAATTGTCACAACGTTGGGAGTTACACAGAAGAGAACCAACAAGAGAATTAGCTACTTGGGTTAGACCATTATGGTACAAGCAGGAAAGTATTTCACCCGAAGGAAAGTATTTTTTGCTCTTTGGCTGCACCCTTCATTCAGGCATAAAGTGCCTCCCTTCTGACACTTGTGGAAATATATTGATCCAATCTGAGTCCAGGGAAAGTGGAGACAAGAGTTAATTTGCCTTTCTTACCAGGCTATACTGGACAGAGGGGTAAGGTACTGGTGGAGACACGCTGTTAGGACAGTAAACGGGATATGTAGTGTGCTCTTAGTAGTGCCGTAACTGCCCTATAGACTGATCTTCTGTCTCTGACATGATCAAATCAGCACCTTCTATCGACATGAAATTCACTTACAAATACAAAGTAAAGTGCAAGGACAAAGAGAGAAACTGATCTGAAAAATAAGAGGGTACATCTACACTGAAGCAGGGAGTACACTTCCCAGCGCCGGTAGGCAGACTCACATTGCTCTGTTCACGCTAGCGCACTAAGAATAGCAACATAGCTGGAAGTGACGTGGGCTGCAGCACAAGCCGGCTACCTCACTTGCCCAGATTAACCCCCCCCCCACACACACACACAGGGCAAGTGGACCACGCCACCTACCCATGCCCAGATGCACGCTTCCAGCTGCAGTGTCAATGGCCCTTTGACATAGTTCCTTCCTTTATTCCCTTCCATTAATATAACCTCATACTCTTATTGCACCCCAATCCACTGCTTCCCCATCAGTCCTCAAATGCTTTCCTGAGAATAAGGTACTGCCAAACTCATGTTATCACAGGGGTGCCTGTCCAACTTCACTCGGTGCTGAACACAAGTGAAGCTTGCCCTGCCTATCCAGCAGAAGGAAAATACAAACCAATCTTTTTCTAACCTTCACTAGATTCTTCGTCCTCCTCTTCTTCTTCCCCCTCTTCCCTGTTTTCAGCCTCATGGTTTTTCTGACTTTCAAGCTCTTCCTCACTCTTCCCCTTCAGAAGGGCATGGATTCGCACAGCTTCTTTCCAGGGCACACCTCCCAGGTCTGAGGTAGGTAGCTGGGGCTGCAGTAGTTCCCCTTCCTCCTCCTCCTCCTCCTCCTCTTCCTCCATTTCAGATTCTGAACTACTGTAAAGGGGGAAAAAGAGAGACAGAAGTCAGTTAATGATGAATCCTAGCCAAGTTTATATGTGGCTGGCAAAACTTCAGTACAAACTCTAGTACATGCAATGGAAACCGTTTTTTCCCCTTCAATGTTTCACTGGACTATTTTAGAAATAGTGCGGTGGAAGCGGACTGCATAAGGTTAAAGAAGCTTGATGTGGAGGCAATAGATTCAATAGCTAAAGGAACTGGATCCAATTACTTTTAATGAAGAGGAGCCAGAGGAAGGATTGTTGTAGAAATCTGTCTTTGGTTCCTATACGCTCTGTGGTTGTAGCTGTGTCCCAGGATACTGGACTGACAAGGTGGGTGAGGTAATATCTATTTGAGACTCACTTCTGATGGTGGGAGAGATGAGCTTTGGAGTTGCACACAGCTCTTCTTCAGGTCTGGCAAAGGTCCTCAGGCCAGGTCTACTCTAGACCCAGCAGCTCAGCTTAAGGTATGCAACTCCAGCTATATAGAATATGTAAGCTGGAGTCAGCCTACTTTAAGCTGAGCTTGGCGGCATCCCCGTAACAGGAGGCCAACAGGAACAAATACTCCCATCAGCTTCTATTACTCCTGGCAAGAGCAGGAGTACCAGCTGCCAGCGGGGGCGCCCTCTGAATTTGATTTAGTGAGTCTGAACTAGACTTTGACTTTGTAAGTGAAAGTCACAACAAGTATGGCTCTTCGATTATAGCCTCTAGGTACTGGCATGATAGTCAAAGGTGAAGAAGGTACTTTCACTATTTTCAACCCAATTTTTCCAAGAACTTTTTTCAAAAAAAATGATCTCTTAGGCTGAAATCTTTCCATGCATTTTCACTAGCAGCGAAAAGAATTTATTGGCAAGTTTCATAGATACATTTGCCAATTTTTAGATTATCCAGACAAGAAAACGTACACTTTCAACTTGAGAATTTGTTGATATACTTATGCTCAAACAACTCAAAGCTTGCTTTAATTTACATTCACAGCTAACTCTCAAGAAATGCACTGAAAGAAATAAAATTGCTAAAATGAACTTCTGTAAATTTGAATTGATGAGTTCAGAAAAGGCGTGCTCATCTAAATGTGTAGCAGGGAAAGGAATTTCTTTAAGTAACAAAGCAAGTTTATATATGCTAAATAGTTTGAATCTTACACTCAGGGTGAGTTTTCTATGGGAATAACCCTTAACTTTTCAGCTGGTCACACATGTAGCTCTTGATACAATTTAAAAGTTAAAATTGTATTATAGAGAGATAATTTTTCCAGAGTTCAAGTTGTATCACTATTTCCACACTAAAGTTAATTTTCTCCCATGTCCAAATTCTTCAAGAGAGGTCCTATGCACTGCAGATTTTACAAACTTGGTCTGACTACAGATTAGTTAACAAATGTGAGGCGAACTAGAGAAGCTATTTCTGAAGCATCAAATTCAGTAGGAGTTATGCCAATAAAAAAAAAGTCTTAAGGAATCTTTCCATTTACTCCAACAGTAGTTGGATCAGGCTCTTAATGCATTATCCTACTACCAAATAAGGATTGGTCTAGAAATTTCAAACTTGTTTAACTAAAGAGCAAGTAATAAGATCTCATACAGTAGATTCTATCTGAGAAGTTGGGATGTTTATCCTTAGGAATTTTTCATCTAATGTGAACATCTGAATGCGCTGTTAGCTTTTATCAAGCTTAAACTTTGTAAAACAGATTAATTTTGTAATGTTGACTATAACACTGATTTTGTACGAGGTACAGATTTGGACCACCCTGCAGCAAGCTTGTGAAAAATCAGCGTGGATTCCTGGGTGCCACAGAAAATCCTTAACACCATCTGCTTGTGTGGCATTGCTAGCAAGTTTCCTCTCATTTCTCCTAAGTATATACCTCTTGTAGGAAAAAAAAAAAAAGGCTCTGGCCACCTTTACAAACTTTGCCCTAGAACTAATGGACTTTGTAAAGTTTATAAAAGCTGCCCATTGAAGGACTGAGCTGTCCTAACCTTGTGCGAAAACGTAGGGTAAACTTTCAAGCTCTGCCCATCTTGGAAGTCCCCCCATGAGACATACACACCCAATGCATTAAACTCAAAAGATCAAGGGCAAAGACTTTTGCAAACTGCACCAATTAATCCAACAGAACTTTTCTCTCACCTCACACATACAAACTCCACTGAACCCACTTTGCCAGTTGCAATCATTCTGGTATATATGATCAGATCATATTTAAAAAAAGGACAACTCTCTGGACTTAAAACTCTAGGGCTACATCTATACTGGCATGATCTTGCGCAGAAACTCCAGAAGAGAGCTTCTACACTGGCATGTGCCTTTGCACAAGAGATTGTAGAGCAACTTGCGCTCCCCAGTGCAAAAGAGATGGTGCAGCTTGTTCTTGGACAGGAAGCAGCAAGGAAGCTGAATGATGTATCTGTCTAACGAGACAGCATCGAGACGGATAAATGAGATATCACAGAACATCAGTGAACAAGTTGTGGATGAAATAAAGAAGTCTCCATTGTTTGCCATACAATTGGATGAATCGACCGACGCTGCATTGTGCTCTCAGCTATTGGTGTTTGCACAATACATGGTTTGCACGAGTTTCTTTTTTGCAAGACTCTTGATACTACCACAAAGGCTCAGGATGTGATGGAAATTGTTAACAATTTCTTTGAAGTACATGGTCTGGATTGGGTAAATCTTGTGGGTGTCACCACTAATGGTGCATCTGCCATGCTGGGCTCAAGATCGGGCTTCCAAATGCTGGTGAAACAGCGTGCTCCAATGGTAGCCGGAGTTCATTGCTTCATTCATAGGGAAGCTTTGGCGTCAAAAACATTGCCTGATCAACTGAACGCTGTTTTCAAAGGGTTGGTGAAAGTGGTGAATCACATCAAATCATCGGCTCTGAACACCAGGCTGTTCAAAAGATTTTGCCTGGACATGGGTTCCGACATTGATGTGTTGCTGTTCTATACTTCTGTACGGTGGTTGTCAGCAGGGAACGTATTCAACAGAGTTTTTCAACTCTGAGAGAAGAGAGGGAAAGAGGAATTCCGAAATGTGCTGACGCAGTCAAATTTAGAACTTGCGTATCTTGTCGATATTTTTGGAATCTTGAACATACTGAAACTTCAGCTGAAAGGGAAAGGTGTAAATCTGTTCTCTTGCCAAAGCATCATCGGGGCTTTTCTTGACAAACTAGAACTCTGGATCGTAAGAGTCGAAGACAATAATTTGTTTCAATTTCCATATGTGGATGCCATGCTCGGGGAAAAGGAAGCCATTCGGACGCATATTCTTTATCATTTACGGGAGCTACGACAGGACTTCCAATGATACTTTCCGGAGGTGGACAGGACAAGGGATAGATTATCTTTCATCAGGAATCCATTTACAACAGATGTTAATAGTGTTGCAGAGGATCTGCAGGAGGAATTCTTGGATCTGAAAAATGATTTTGTGGCTCAAGACGTGTACCAGCAGTCTACCATCAAGAAATTTTGGGCCAGCATGACTGGGAGTTACCCAAATCTGTCAGTGCACACAGTCAGATTTCTTTTGCCATTTGCATCAACTTATATGTGCGAGACTGGATTTTCGTGTTTGTTGCACATTAAGTCCAAACAGAGGAATTGGCTTGCCGTGGAAAGCGATATTCGTTGTGCATTATCAAGTACCACTCCAAACGTTGAAAAGCTTGTCAGTGAGAAGAATCTAAAAATCTGTTAGTAAGAAATAAATTTCAAACCAAAATGTTTGTTGTCTGCTCTTTTTTATCATGTCTCCATCATGAAAATGTTTTGATTGGTCTGGCTACACCTGGTGGTCCATGGACTGAAATGAGTTGAGAACTACTGCTCTAAATGGAATTAAGGTTATACATTTGTAACTGTATTTTAAAAACTCTCAAATATTAGAAGGCCAGGAAATTGTTAATTTTAAATTCAAATACTATGAAATATTTATAGTTGTTTAAACTGGAATTTTAGACTAGCATTTCATGGTCTTTTAATGTTTTGTCCATTGAGTATTCTAAAAAGGTTGTTCTCCTAATGTTATAGATACAAGCATATGCCTTTACTGCTAGTTTAACAAGGATATTTTTGTCTGGGATAAAATCTGTACAATTGACATTTAAGTGCATTCCGGCATTAATACATTAGGGGACAATAAACTGCAATTAAACATCAGTACGGACTCAACAAGAGACTTTAAAAGTGTCATTTTGAGGCTGCATTTTGTCTCGCTGTGATTTCTGTATCATACTCACTCAGTCTACAAGTCATTTTTTTCAGCTGCCAATCCCACATGAATCTTGGCCTGAGCTTTCAGAAGTGAGCTAAGTTACATGCTTACCAGTCTTGCACATTATCTGTAATCAAAGTTCTATGAGCTAAATCAGACCCTGTTACTCATGTGCAATCCCAGTGCTTTCAAATCATGTGGCATCTGTGAATCTCAGCACTTTTGCTGAGTTTGCATGGGTTTAACTGTTTCCTATTTAGTACTCATTCCTGTTGATGCCACATAGCGGGAGAGTCTAGACTACATGGCTCCGTCGATGGAGCCATGTAAAGTAGTTTACCCGACAGTCAATGAAGCAGGGATTTAAATAATCCCCGCTTCATTAAAATAAAAATGGCTGCCACGCTGTGCCGACAATCAGCTGATCCGGCACAGTGCGGGAGTCTAGACACAGATCGGTCGACAAGGGAAGCCTCGACAAGGCTTCCCTTAACGACCGATCCACGTCTAGACTTCCGCACTGTGCCAGATCAGCTGATTGTCGGCACAGCGTGGCAGCCATTTTTATTTTAATGAAGCGGGGATTATTTAAATCCCCGCTTCATTGACTATGTCGGGTAACTAGTTTACATGGCTCTGTCGACAGACCACGTAGTCTAGATGTACCCATGTAGTCTAGACATACCCAGGATGACACAGAATGCTGTTTATATGTTAGTGTTACCATAACAGGAAACAAAATAAAAGTTATTTTTGTCACTGAAAAAAGGATCTAATTTAGAATAAACTCAGGAACAAATCTTGTGTTGTTATATTTATGAGAAAAAGAAGTGCAATGACTGGATGCTTGCCATATAGAAGTGAATCTCATCTTATTTCAAAAGCAAAATAGTTTGGGCTTAGTTAAAACTATACTATTGTTGGTTTTGTGTGACTGCAACAGCACTGCTTAACAAACAGATACTTCGGGCAATAACTTTTACATAAAAGGGCTCATTTGAGATTACTGCTCGCAGAAAAAGCCCGCTTTTGGCTTAACAGGTAATCTCAGTATTTTTTAATACAAACGTTCCTTGGTTGAACTTCTTCCTAGAATGGATTATTCACAACTTCTCTTTCCACTTGATATTTTCTCACATAGCTATCTTCTTCTGTTCTGCGCCATCTACACAAGATTTTACAATCTTTGATGTACGCTTGCCACAATGGTTTTACGTATTTGCTGCTTATTTTTCATGTAATCTTTTCACATTAATAAAGTGTGTAAGTGGTAAGATGAGCAGACACAGAGTTGCTATTTCCAGACAACAAAAGTGAGGTCTGAAAACGGATCACATATGATCTGAAACATTAAAAAAAGCCTGAAATATAAAATCTACACAAATCTGAAATGTATATCTTCAACATCCACCTTAAATCTATTCCTGACATGCAGGCTTTCATTACACAGTTTGGGACAGACATGTGTTGCAAGTGCTATATTGCAACACAACTTTTCTTATAAATTAAAGATGCACATAACTCCAGGGGCAGAGTTCAGATTACCTTGAGGGCTATAATTTATTTTTGCATGATAAAAATCTATCCTTTTTCTTGCTCTATTCCATCTTTGCAAAATGTTATTCGTTGCCTGGGGAGAATATTTTTGACAGATGTAAATTAATAAAATGTATAAGGTACCATAGGTTTTTTTTCCCCTCATCACAATATGGAGTTGACAAGGAAGATTTTCTGCATGGTCCAGTTAGTTTTCATGACAATTTTACAAAGCTACAAGAAGTGGGTTGTGTATGATATATAATGCAAATGTTATAACCCCTTGTTCCACAGCAGAAAGTAGACATTTATTTTCAAGTCCCATCTCTCCTTTCTAAAGGTAAATGATGAATCAGATCATAAATATATGCTGAACCTCTGGTGTACAACAAGCTCCTAAGAGGTCTTAGCATATCCCAGTGGCTTTATACAGATGCTCTCAGAGAGATTAAAAAATGGTCTTTATCTCCTCTCCTGAGTAACAGCGCACTTTCCTCCTTTTCAGGACAGAAAGAAATCTGACAGGTGTCGCTTGCTAGGTTTTTAGTGCACTGTCAATAAAATTTATTGTTGCTCATGCTGTTGCCATGACTACTCTGTGGATCAAGCCATGTTCTCCAGCTAGTCTGCTTATCTCATGTAATATTCACAATGTAAATTCTTTACTCCACAGCTCACTTTACCTTCTCCAGCATTTATCTGCACTGCACTTGTGTGTTTGCATTTGAGTCCTGAGAAACAAGAGGCTGTGTGGGTGAAAGGAGACAGAGATAGATTGGGGCACAGGGTCTTCCTTTCAAGCTAGTAGCCCCAGCTGGGACCATTTTTTCTGTTAACTGGTGATCAGAGAAAAGAACTGGATGACTTGACAGACAGACTCAAATATTCAGGCAGTGCCTCTTAATATATATAAAACATATATGCATATGTCTGTCAATTTTGTGCCAGAGAAAGGAGCCAGGCTATAAGGCTTGGAGACTCGCATCTTCTACAACCCTACAGCGCAGGTCTAGAATAGAGTGACAGTGCTAGCTGCCTCCATTGGATCCCACAATATGGTTCAACATTAATCTGGAGTGGCCAGTTACAGAGATGAGAGAGTATTCCACCATGGTGGTTTTAGCTCAAAAGGTGGGGCACTGTACGAACAGCACCCACTTTAACTGCATCATGTCCTCTTTAAGGATAATCTGCACATCAAGCCTTATGGGTGCTGGGCTGTCCGAACACAGACCTATTGTTGACACTTTGGTGCCTCATAATGGAATATGCACCACTCTTTAGAGCAACTTCTTAGCACAGAGCCTTCATCTGGAAATAATAATCTATGCAAGTGACAACTGTGAATGGCCCACAGAATCAGGATAAAGAAAATGTAAATTACCTTGAATGTATCTTACATTCAAATCTGCACATGTTCTCCAAACATTGTGTGGGTATTACATTTAGTTCTGGGTGTGACTCTAGATGTTGCTATTATCCTACAGAAGTCCAACAACAATTAGGTCCTGGCTGGCTACCTTTGAGACAGTTTCCCTTTCTATGCACACTTGTGTTAGTTAATGTGTGTGAGGGTACTTTTGCAAGGCATCCCTAGAGTGGCTTAAGACTGGCGCAACACCAACTTGAAATTTACTTCCCTTATTGATCAGATGCCAAATATGTTGATCTTCTGTGAGGATTAATCTGATGTTTTAAAATGCTTTAAGTGTGAAACATATTACAGAAGTGCTACACACAATTATTCCTGTATTTGCAGACGTGCATATTAACTGAAGTTTTTTTTACCATGGTACTAATGATGAATCTGTTACACAAGGAGTATATTTTGGTTTGACTTTTGCTCACAAGTTATGCTTATTGCTGTGAATTTCTGTCCATGTGCCCAGGGATGTGAGAGAGACAGATTTTATAAGCCAAACAATAATATTTACTTTTTAAAAAAAGAGAATACTTAAAAAAATACAAATTTAAGCCAAAATACCAAAAGGGGAGAGTGACAGAACTCTAAACAAAAAATGGAGGTGGGGAGAAGGGAAGGAGAGAGGTGTGCACAGAACTGTAGGAGGAGAAATAGTGGTTGCAGTCTGAGATGCCAAAGATAACACTTTTCCCTTGACTTCTTTTTTCCTTGGAGGTTTCCAATCCACGTATTGACCAAATCCAAGTATTCTTGATTTATGTGATCCGAGGAAGTCATGGCCAATAACAATATAGCTCCAGGCAAGTGAACTCTGGTTAGCACTTTTGGATTGAAAAAGTACTATAAAAGGTACAATAATATTATTTATGTTAATATTGACAACAGCAGCAACACCATTATTATTAATTATATCTGAGAAGTGGGCTGGGCAAGGGACAGAGAGTATAAGCAGATCTCAAGTCTTCCACATTAAACTTCAGAGAACATCTGAGAAGGCCACTAAACAACACATCTAATAAATAAATTATATCAAAATAAGATCCTCTCAAGAACTTAATTAAGAAACACCATCATTATTCTAGTAAAGGAAACAGGACAGGCCACCAGGTACTTACCCAGGATGGTTCAAACCTGTTCAGAATATTTATGATAAGGATGCATCAGTACTGCTGAAGACTGGTAAGGCTAGATACTGTCAAATATCCAGTTGCTGCCTCTTGTATTTGCATCTTATGGGACTCTGCTCATTTGCTTGTTCCAGCATACACTCAGGCCCTGATCCTGCAAAGACTTATGAATGTGCTTAATTTTATGTTCTTGAGTCACCTAGCTGAAGTCAGGTTCCCCTGTATAATTGAGGTAAGCAGTCAAACATGCAGTCTGCACATAGGTTTCAAGTTAACCCTATGTAGTTGTATTGTAGGATCTGGGCTTTGGTCATCTGTTATATCATTATCTGAGTTTACAGTAGCAGCTTTACGAATATAAACACTCTTGCACAGGCAAAGGACTGAACAACTGAGGAGAGTTTTTGCTGCAAGGGAAGGGTGTTGAGCAGTGTGCACAGGGAGTAAGAGAGCCACAGTATTTGGAAGATGAGAGTCTGCAAAGGTTCCACTCATCCCTTAAACTTAATTGCTGCTGCAGGAAATACAAAGACATTTCCCCACACTTGTGAGCACTGAGTCTCTAGCACTCTGGTGTATTGTTCTGCAGCTGAAGAAATTAATAGACACGCATTTATACACTGTTTCACACTGTACATAGCTATAACTTCAAACCAAGCTCTCTCAGACAAAAGGCACTCAATCAAGGCTAAGTATTTGCCCAGTTTGAAGTTTTAAACCAAAGAACGTTTTCAGTTATCAGAGAGCAAAATAAGCAGAGCAAGCTCTTTGAAAAAACATTCCCCTCTGACCCCATGTTCTGTTCACTGAAATGACTCAGTTGTTTTTAAATGTAATTTTCACAAAAAGTAAATTCCCTTCTGAGCTAAGACTGAGCATGAGAAATTTCACTACGACGAGTAACTTTTTAAGAACACTCTTATGTGACTCAAAGAGGAGTTTAGAACAGAAACTCTAGTATAAAATACCTGTCTAAAGTGCGGCTGAAGTTACCAGGTATCCAGAAAGGGGAGCCTCAGTAAAGTATATGGGAAAGTGCACTGTGGGAACAAGTAGACACAAGCCTGCTGGGGTGGATATAGGCTCACGTGTACATGGAGTGCTAACCTGCTGGGCACATCCTCTTCTGTTCCTTTGTCTAGTACACTGCTCAGGTTATGCTCTGCCAGCGTCTCCTCGGGAACCTCTTCCAGTTCCTCTTCCTGCTGCAGTGACAGCCGGTAATTCTCCAGCTCAATCCGCTCAGGTGTGCCACGCAGTCTCTTGGCAAGGCTGGGCTCCTCCAGTCCATTGACATTAGGCCCTAAAGAACAAGCCAGCAGACAAATAATGAATTGGATGAACTGAGTTTGAATTCAGAGGCGAATTCAGAGCAAGGAGCAGTGGGGTGAGAAAGGTCCGGTGGGGAATAAAGTGAGAGAGGAACGATGCCATAACCATACTAGCCCCTACTAGTTGAATTGGAGAGGTAAGAATACCCCGAAGTGGGTCCTAGAGAGTGCTTTTGGCCAAAGGGTGCTAACAAAAGGTTACATGGCCTGGCTGAGAAGGAACAAAAACATTCTAGCTGCAAAGGCCAGAGATGTGCCAGGCACAGGGACCCCAATTCAAAAAGGGCTAGGGAAGCCATTGTTATGGGGCCTGAAATGTGCCCAGTTCCATTATGTAAGGAGTGTCTCAAATGCCGGAGACAGAGAGTCAATCCTGCCATAGAAAGCTGCCTGGTGTAAGGCCGCCAGGTTCAGGCCTCAGCCATGCTTTTCTCTGGATTTGACATGATGTCCAGTCAGTGCATGATGAAACTGGGACTGCAGAGGAAACCTGGATGAACAATTTGTGGGACTGTGGAAGTAGGGGTGGATTGCTGGATAAGAGCTTCACTGCTTTCTCCTACTCCTGGCAAACCATAAGGATTGTGCATGGGGCAAAACAGTTAATTTCAAAACCAGCAGAGGAGCTCCAAGGGCTACTTTAAAAACAGTGCTCAGTGAAAGAGCCAACACCTCTGAATCTCGATCAGGTGGGTGGAAACAGGAAATGGGTGTGTGGAAAGACAAGAGACTAGGACTCATAGTCCCAACAATCTTAGGCCTAGTATTGCAATACTGATTCTGATGCCTATGACTGCGGCCATTAGCAACCCGACTACCTAATGTCATCAAGTGCTTATATCATTAAGCACCAGTGGAAGGCATCAGAGGGTATGTCTACATATGCCCCCTAGTTCGAACGAGGGAGGCTAATGTAGGCATTTGAAATTGCAAATGAAGCCTGGGATTTAAATATCCCGGGCTTTATTTGCATCTTCCCGTCCAGGCGCCATTTTTAAATCCCCTTAGTCCGAACTAACTGCCCGCGGCAGTCAAACGTTAACTCGAACTAAGTCCTTAGTTCGAGTTAATGGTTACACCGCATTCCATTTAAATCCTGGGCTTCATTTGCAACTCTGAATGCCCACATTAGCCTCCCTAGTTTGAACTAGGGGGCTAGTGTAGACATACCCAGAGGGACTGAGAAAATCCCACATCTAGTGCCACAGGTTAAACATGCCTGCAGCTCACCACTAAACAACTCCATCCATGTGCTATTGCTCTCCTCATTAAAAAATGGACTCCGTTGATTGGGATCTAATGCTTGTGGGACTGAAAACCAGAAGTGCCAAGTGTTCAGAGATCCAGTTGAAGCCAATGGGATCTGCGGGTGCTTGGCACCTCTGGCCACGAAGCAAATATGGACTTAGCACCTGTTAACACCAGAAACCGCATCATCAAGCAGAGTTGCAGATAAGCGATATACAAAAGCTTCACCAACTGATCCATCAATCCTCTGATCTGGACTCATCTATATCCCCTTTACAATTCCCACCGGTACGGTTCTGCCAATGACCCTCAATTTGGACCAAAAACATCCTCTGTTGTAACATTCTTGGGGGTCTGATGCTGCTTTTGCAACATGGACAAATATTCATAAGAAACGAGGTTGGGACCCTACCACAGGATCCAGGCCTCTACAGGCAAATTTAAACCTACATTTCCAAGGGTATCTTGTTCTCTACAATTTGCTGCTGCAACAGTCTTATGCTGTGTCAGTATTTTTTTAAAGAATTACTAAAACTAAACAGACTACTCAGCTAGGATTCATGCTTCATTTCACTCTCTCTGGGATGCCTAGATGGTGATACCACCTTGGCCAGAACTATTTTTGTAATCAGTATTACATTCCCCAACTCTGAGTTCACAACATCAGGGGATCTGACCTGGAATGCTGACCTGCCAATCCTGGCCAACATGAAAGGAAATGGATTATGGGTAATGGAAGAGTACCAAGGCTTGAGAGAGCAAATAAAGGGCACATTAAATCCTCAGAAACAGATAGTTTATCTTCTGTATTAGACCTTTTCACAGATTTCAGTGTGTTCTAGTTAGGTACACCTTTCCCCAACACACACAGCTGTCACATGCTGTTTCTGACTTGTCCTCTTACTCTGGCCCACTCTGAATATTCAGCAATGTATCCATGAAGTTCATAGACTGAAACAAGGATCATAGGGGAAAGGACGAGAAGTCGTTCTCTGGGGGATTTATTTTGCAGGGTTTTTTGGAGCCCTTATGTTTTGTTAACTTCCTCAGAAGAAAGCAAAAAAGTAGCACAGGATCATTTCTAGAGCAAGATTAACAGACTATGGAAAGGATGACTTTTCATTGCAAAGGGAGGGGGCAGAAATAAATGTAGTCAGAGAGATAATTGTAGAGGGGGAACCAAACTGACATTTACACACACTAGTGAAATACACACGCAACCTCTCCAACACATGTGCAGGATAAAAATGAACCTGGTCTCTCCCATCTCATGACTGCAACAGGGATGCTATAGGAAGAATTAAACCAATCCTGCAGCAATGCATGGGGACAGGCTAGGTGATTCACTAGAACTGACCCCAGAACAATGAAAACTCTTCTAACCTGTAAGACAAAGGAGTGTGGTTATGGCAGGATAGTTTACACGCCTGGCAGAAGATGTGTGCTATGAAGTTTCAGGAAAGAAGGGAGAACATTCCCAGACTAGGGACGTAATAGAGTAATCGATTAGTCGATTAACCGATAAGCAAAAGCTTGTTGGTTAATGCTATCAACTACATGCATTTAAATGCAGAGCCACAGCAGGGGGACCCATCCCCGCTGCGACTGCATTTAATATGTAGTAGGAGCAAGGAAGACAGGCTCGTGCTGGGTTTGGGACCTACCCCAGTTGCAGTTTAAATATAGTAGGAGCTGGGCTGTCTTTCCACCCACCTCTTACTACATTTAAACTGCAGAATCACAGCGGGGATAGTTTTAACTTCCCTTATCGAATAATTGTGTAGACAATAAAAATTCTATCGACTACACAATTAGCAAATTACCTGCTTCTTAACATCGCTACCCCAGACACACTTCAAATGTAAGATTGGTTTTTATTCTTTTTAGCGATGTAATTCAGCAACAGCATTGGTCAGATTCCTCCATTTTATTTTTCTTAAAAAAAACCCCATGCAGTTTGATATTGGAGAACATGGCTCAAGCAGCTCAGCTTATTGCCAGCCTCAGCCAGGGACTTGTGTTCTGCACAGGCATACTTTGCCCAGCGGGTTTGTTGACAGAGATTCTAAAATGCACCATCAGTCTTCTTTGTTTGAGTGCAAGACACTGTCAAGCTCACCGCCAAGCACAAATGGAACAGATGCTAACTGATTCCCCATGCTGTTTGCCTCCTTATGCGGTTAATAACCAGAAGGGCAATGGCCACAGCTCTCAGTGTTGCCATTAACACAAACCGCTTGGCTAACTTTGGCTTTCCTCCAAAAGCCTAGGTGGAGCCAGAATGGGGAACGGTGATTATCTTCTCACATCAACTGGATTCACAAGGGGCTGCATTACTGAGCAAATGGGAGAAAAACATTAAATCTGCTTTGGACATGCTTGCTTTTTCAGTGACACCCTCTCTATCAGAAAGAGCAGTCCCCATATGGCTCATGATGATGTCGAATTGCTGTTCAACACATCTGCTCACAAACTTAAATAACATTCTTCTGTAGTTCTGCCAACAACAAGTACTCACAGAAAATACTGGTTAGCCCATCTGCCTCTCTATCTTGTGTCTTTAATAAATACAGGCACAAGCACACCGGCATGGCGTAAAAGAGTACCATGCAGTCAAGACAGGAAGCTGCCCGCAAACTGAGAACAGAGTCTAATGTGACTGCATAGGACGAAGCATGAGAAAACTGTCCACTTCTTCAGATGACTGGAGTTTTGAATTTAGGATGTGCAGACCCAAAATAAATAGGGGAGAACGGAAAGGGGGGGAAGGAAAATAAAAAAGGAAAGGAGCGGGAAACAAGGAACAGAGGGTATGAAAATATCAAAGGGAAAACCAAATAGGCAGAACTGGCAATCTATAAACAGCTAAAGATTGGATAGTTAAAAGAAGCAGATAAGGATCATAGGATAGCATCCACAAATTCAATTCTCACTCTGATGGCCTCCTCAGTCGAGATAACAGATGGCTGGGACATTATCAACCTAACATTCAATGAAGGTGCCAACACCTCTTTGACTGTGTAGATTCTTGCATTAGTACCCTTCCTATCTAATTGCTATCCTATGATTCTTATCTGCTTCTTTTAACTATCCAATCTTTAGGTGTTTATAGATTACCAGTTCTGCCTATTTGGTTTTCCCTTTGATATTTTCATACCCTCTGTTCCTTGTTTCCTGCTCCCTTCCATTTTTTTCCTTCCCCCCTATTTATTTTGGATCTGCACATCCTAAACTCAAAACTCCAGTCATCTGAAGAAGTGGGCTGTGCTCACGAAAGCTCATGATACCATCTACATGTTTTGTAAGTCTATAAAGTGCTACCAGACCATTTGTTGTTTTTTAAGTTTATCCTGTACAGACTAAGTCGGCTACACCCTGAAGCGAGAAAACTGTCATTACTCAAACATCAAGAATCACCTGTGAGAAAAAAAGACAGCTCACCACACAAACAAAGAATCAGCTCAAACATCCACCAACATCCTAAAAAGGAAAATGTTTCAGGACTTGACACAATGGTACTGCATTTTGGAAGAGCTGCTGGCTCCAAACACAGATCAGATCATCCAGGGAACCGTTTTTCCTAACACAATAGCCTGCTTAGCTGTGGCATGAAAGTTGCCAGAGGCCTCTATTTATCTCAGTCCTGACGCAACCTGCCTCTTGGAAAGGAACATTAGGCCAGAGATAACATTTCTGTGCTGAAATGCCCCTTGCTCTGCTTCCC